CCAGACCCATTATTGCAGAGCCAGGTCTGACCTTGGGAACCTTTCCACCTCATAAAGGTGACCTTGCAGCTCTCTTTCAACAGGATCCATTAAAACACCACCTGACACTGTCCCTACAGATCTGCCCCACCTAATAGCCTCTCCAGTTTCCTTTCAAGCCTCTCTACCTTCCACTCTCTGCTCTAGCAGCATGGGCTTTAGTTCTGTTCTCCACTCTTCAGTGTCTTTGGCCAGACAGCTCCCTCTGCCTAGACTAAGCTGCCTCCCACTCTTAGCATGGCTAACGCTCACCTGTCAGGTAAATAAATGTGCCTTTCTCAGGGAAACCCCAAGTCAGGCTGTATCTCACGGTCCCCCGTGCCTGTCTCCTGAGCACTCATCACAGCTGTCACTAAGTAACTGTTTGGAAAGTTAATCGTGGGCCGGCCGAGTGGCGCAATGGTTAAGAACTGGCTTGGGACGCCAGAGGGCCCCGGTTCAGATCCCACATCCACATATGAGGGACAGTGACACTGCCCTCTGCAGCTAAGATGCTGAACAACAGCTCAACCTGGAGCTGGGCTGCCGTGGGTCGCCGGCGACGGCGTGGGCTGCAGCCCCTGTGGCAGTGGGTTGCCATGGGCTACTGTGTGTAGCCAGCAGCCAGCGTGAGCGGCGAGCGGCCAGCAGCCGCAGTGAGCGGCCGTCCAGAAGCCGGCGACTGATCTGCCTCGCCCGGGAAGAGCGCAATGATGGTGCCAACTTGGGCCAGTGAAGCAACGTCCTCCACAACTAGACTGAAGAACAAAACGACAGCAACTTGTCTGTTCCCTTTCCCCCAATTCCCCAGCACTGTTCCCATCCCCCCAATTGCCCAATAAAAATCTTTAAAAAAAAAAAAAAAAAGAAAGTTAATCGTGTACCTTCAGTAGAGGCTGCTTGAAGGGAGGGACCATGTCAATCTTTCCACTTTCAAGGTCCCAGCACCCAACACAGTGCCTGGCCCATGGCAGGGGCTCAGTGACACTTGCTGACTGCACACAGCCCCTAGTGGAAAGTTTATGACAGTGGCCCACCAGCAGGCTCAGTCAGATGCCTGGGGGAATCTCAGCTCTGCCCCTCACTGGCTGAGGGGCCTTGGGAAGGTTAGTTAAGCTTGTGAATTCTTAGCTTCCTTATCTATAAAATAAAGATAATAAATAGGATCTACACTGTAAGGTTTTCTTGAGAACTAAATGAAATAAAGTAATGCATTGCCGGACATACAGCAGGAGCTAAATAATTGTAATGGCCAATTTCCCCAGAGCACAGATACACTCACCTCCTTTTTTTCCAGACTCACAGGGGCACATGTTATTGTCCCTGGATACTACGCATATCTTGACTAATTCTATATGTTTATTTGATTATTTTAAATAACTACACTTACAGTTTTTTCTACAGATAAACATGCACATTGTATACAAAGAAATATGGAGCATTACTTACAAATAGCAGAGGGGAAACAACTTAAATGTCTATCAATAAGGATCTGGTTAAAAGGGTGTGATTCGTCCATTCCTAATGAGTGAGGATGCTCTTCAAATTGAAGCAGATTTCTATGTTCTGACATGACAAGTCTATAAAATTTGTTGTGAAGTAGGAAAAAACACGATGGAGAACAATGTATAATTTGCTACCACGTGCTATTTAAAGGGTGTGTGCCCATGTATATATGCTCACAGATCACACACATACACTTATATGTGCACAACATATCTCCAGAGGGAGATACATGCAAAGCATGGGTAATACGACTGCCACTGGGGAGAAGAATTAGAGACTGAGGCTCAGCAGTGGGAGGGAGAGTCACTGTTTACTATATATACAGAGATATATAATTTTTCTTTAAATTTCCAACCTGGCTATTGTAACGCAAATCGAATTTCATTTTTCAAAAATATAAATAAAATTGATAGATAGAGCCCCTCCCTTATTTAAGCATTTAGTCACTATTCTCTGGTACTTAACTCTGGGCCAGGATGTCTGTGAAGGCAAAGATACAAAGGTAAGTGACATGGCCCCAGCTGTGGAGCTTGGTGAGTCATCATATGTCACAATCAAGGGAGGAGAGGCATGCTGGCACAAAGCCCACGAGAAGGGCATTTAGGAGTAAGAGTGGTGGGTCAGAAAGGAAGACATTTCTAGAAAAGGGAACAGCACAAGCAAAGTCCAACATGCACAGGAGAGCCCAGCACACAGAGCGCTGCAGGAACTTGACCTGGTTGGGGCTACAGGCAGGAGGGAGGCAGGGACAGGGGACGGTAGCCTCAGGCACCAGCTGAGACTTGGATCTCATTCTGAAAATGCTGGGAAGGCACTGAGCGTCACTGAGCAGGCCAGTGACGTGACCAGAATGCATTTTAGAAAGGCCACCCTCAGCCCGCACGGAAGAGCAGCCTATGGAGGAAAGAACGGGCGGCCCGGAGAAGACCCACTGGAGCCTCCTGGAAGTGAAGACTGTCCAGAGTGGAAGGCCTGAAACAGGAACTTTAGATGTGACAACCAGGAAGTTACTGGGGAGGAGGCCAGGGGTATTTACAGGCAGGGATGGAGGGGAACTAGAAGAGGATGTGCAGACCAACAGCAGACTGGCAGTTCCTAGAATTTTGGAATGTCCTAAGGCCAGCGAATTTTTTAGAAATCAAACAAAGCGAAAACTAAGAACCAAGTAAGGTTGCCAACTTTTTTATTTTGCAAAGTAAGGATAATTTGTTAAAATAAAGTCTCATGTTTTAATACCATCATTTCATAAAAGAAGGGACATTTTAACTCTCCCCAAAATGGGAAGGCCTGACCTCTGATAAAGGATGGTCACTGAGATAGAATAAATTTAGCTTGATGACAAACTCTTCACGTCATCCTTTCTGCTCTCATTTCATCATGGATTTATAAAATCTCGGTCAGATTCAAGATGCTGGTTGGCTGACTGTGAACTGCTGTGTAAACCAGTTTTTTTTTCAAGAAGGGAAAGAAAGAGAGTAGATAAGAACAGAGGCAAGAGTTTTTGGTTTTTGAAGGATGAGACTGATTTGAGAAACTGAATGTACTGAGAGGAAAAAAACAATTGAAAGAAAGATTTAAATATAGGAACTAAATACACTGTAGTATCCCGGATTGGGTCCTGAAACAGCAAAAGGACACTGGTGGAAAAACAAATGAAAACAAATAAGGTCTGTGGTGTAGTTAACAGTAGTGTACCAAAATTAATTGCTTAGTTTTGATAAACGTCCCAGGCTATGCGAGATGTTGGCATTAGAGGAAGCTGTATGACGGGTATATGCAAACTCTCTGTATTTTATCTATGTATTACTTTTATAAATCTAAAATTATTTGTAAATAAAAAGTTTTTAAAATAACAATATGGAAGAGAAAGGAGATAAGTGTAAGACTAAAGTCCCTAAGGTTAGAGTTTAGAACCAGGTGTACGGGTGGGGGTGGGGGGGGCAGGTGGCCCTGGCCCTGCATGGGAGAGGAACATCTCCCTCCCTGAGACCAGAGGAAAGGGTTGGACATGGACACAAATAATTTGCTAATAAATTTGTCCCCAGAAGTTTGAAATGGAAGCTTTCTTAGCTTTCTTTCCCCCCCCCCATTAATACAATAATTTAATAACCAAAAGGACAAAACAGGTACATGAAAATAGTGTATAAGTGAAAGGGGAAAAACAGGTAAATGGGACACCGGTAAAATTTAGATTGAGAGCGGAAGCGAGCGGTTAACATTTCGCGGAAAGAAAAAAGCAGTAGCCCTGGACCACGTTGCGTTCCGCTCCGCCAGGACGCTGAGGGCTGAAGCCAGCCACTGAGAAAACCCCTGCTCCAGAGCACTGGTGAATTATGGGGGATACTTTCAAGACTGCACTAAAACCATGACAGGACCCTGCGAGAGAGAGAAATAGCGGGAGTGAGCAAAACGTGGAGAGAAGTCAGGGCTCGGCATGAACGCCACAAGGCCCCGCAGTAGCAGCCATTTCCCACCGAATCCTGCCACTGACTTTCGGGAACATCACAGGTCCTGGTGGGAGCTTTGCATAGACCCCCACTAGTCATTTTTATTTACTTAAAATTCCCCTTATTTAAAGTATGAATAAGCAGCTTCTTTTCGGCAACAAATACCAAATCTTAACTTTAGTACATTTTTTTTTAATGGCAAAAACTATGTACAACGATCGCTTGTTTTTGGCTCTCCATTTTTCTGGGGGGGTGGGGGGGTGGGGGGACATCGTTTTGAAAAGTAGCTGAAGTGGCAGGAACCAAGGCACCTTCCAGGATTCAGGGAGAGGAGTTAATAATGGTGGCATCAAGGCCCTGACGTTGCGTGAATCAGCACCAGCTGTGTTTTCTGTTCATGTGTCACTTTGCTGAGGGTTCAAAGTAGTGACAGTGAGTCCATTTGGTCAGTTGGGGGCACGGAGGAGGACAGGGCACTATGATGAACAGTCCCCCAAAACCACCCATACTGGGAAATAAGTACTTCAGCAACGGGCTATTACTGGAAGAAATGGGACTGAATGGGAGGTAATCAGTACGTGCCTTATTCTCTTAGGCTGCCATGCCCCTCCCTGAGCTGTTATCCTGACTGGGAGTACCCCGTGATCGGTAATGCCTTTAGTCTTCCAGACCACCAGGCAAACTCCTATTTTCCCCTCAAAGCCCAGATACAGACACCCACTTCTGTGAAGCCAAGCAGAGGAAATCATTTTGCACTGCTTTGTACCTTGTACACATATTCCTTGTTGAATTGAGCACACTATAGTGTAACGATTTGCATCTGTATGGATCTCTTCTATTAGACTCTAAGTTTCTTGAGGTAAGAAATAACATCTTTTTATCTATGCTGCTTCTGTGCCTGGGACAGTGCCTGTCGTAAAGTAAGTATTCAACAAATGTTTGCCAAAATAAAATGCAAATCATAAACCACTGCTATATTTTTTAAAAAAAACAACTTGAAAAAGCATAAGGAAAATTCTCGACTGTTACCTTGGAAAATCTGCGTGATGTTTGAGAAAGCCTGGCAATATCTTCAAGATCCAGATAAGAAATGATACTCAGGAGCAGATTGTCTGAGAGCCGCTCAAGGAAGTCAAATTTACCTTTGCACAAATTGAAGACATAGTCTAATATTCTTGCACCAAATATTACGGCAATTTGAACTGTAAGTCAAAGAAACCAACAAACCAACATGATTATCATGCAAAGTCACATAAAAACTGTGATCATGATCAGTAAGACTTTGGGGTACCCCTCCCCCGGGGAGTGATGTGAGGTCATGCTGAGTCATCCCTTCTTTCATCAAGCTGCCTGCGGGTCCAATAGCACACATTTGTGAGGCGACTGTTTCCAATTGCCATCCCTGCCCTGAGGTCAGAATCTTTTAGGGACACTCACTGTTTAATACAGGGATGGACTGCATCCCCTTGGTCTCCAGCACCACATTCCAGCCCAGACACCTGACCTAACCAGTCTCAGCATCACATCCCCATCCTTGCAATCTCCCTGGCTGGGCACATGTTTTCTATAATCCCTTCTCTCCCCAGTTTGGTCTGAAACATATTAATATGATATCTCTTAATTTTATTCATGTTTTGTTGTTCTCTTACTGTTATATGTTATTTCTCCACCAAATTTTCTTCCTTCCTCTTTACCTTCTTTCATCTCTATCTTTACAGAATAGAAAACAATACAAATAGGCAAAGAGAAAAAATAGATGAATGTTTCATGAAAATTGTGTTCACTTTTGCCTAATATTTTCCATGCCTTTTCAGTTATTTCCAAATTAGGAAATAGTTCACAAAGAATCAACCAATATAATGGTCTACCTACTATGTTCAATAGAGGGGGGGAAATGAGTTTGTTTTGGTTTTTTGGTTTTTTTTTTTACCCTAGCTCCCTGAATAACCAAGAAATGACTAACTAAGAGAAAAACATGTTTGGAAGGACACATACTCAAATTTTAACAGGGGTTCAATGAGGTTGTGACTTTTATTTTCTTCCTTTTGCTTATCTGCATTTTCTAATCTTTCTACTAACAAGAAAAAAATTCTGAGAAGCCCTAGATTAAACTACAGCGGGCCAGCAGATGGAAGGAAGAGACCAGAGGGGTTAATCAGTTAACAACTGCAGGCCAAAACCAACAAAAGGCTGCTTACATTCCTGAGTGTATGTTGAAACTGTGAACTAACCTCCAGGTGGCTGTTTCCAAGATTACCTAGAGAGAAAGCCAACCGAGAAGTGCCGGGGCGTCTCGCTTACGCATTAACTTTCCAAATGCTGCCCACACCCAACCCAGAAGAGCAAAGCTGCTTCTTACGCCTCTGCCTCTGCGCCTCTCCCAGAGCCAGCCCCGGGGCACCTCCTCCTGCCCCTTTTATCTATAGCCAGTGTAAATACTTTTAAAACAACTTACATCTTTTTCCCCAAAACTTAATGTGTAAAAGAGCCCATCGATGCCAGGACCCAGGACGGCAGACAGGTCATCTTTCCCATCTCGCCCTGCTGCTGGTGGTTCAGACTGCACGCCCCAGGACCTGGTCCTTTCTCTAGCTAGCATATGGCTTGATAAACCCTTTCTTTTAGAAAAGCTTTCAGTTGTGAAGGTTTTCTGTTTACCACTACAATAAACCCATATTATCAATGTGATTTTTTTTTTTTAATCCAGGAAGGAAGAGAGGGAAGGAGGGAGGGAGGGAGGAAGGGAAGGGGAAGGGAGAAAAAAACATAAGGATAACTTCCAAAATAGTTGCTCTGTAATCGGTTGGAGACTGATTCACAGCTGAACAAAACAGAAAATTCAACTTATGGCTTCGCAAATAGGGTTTTTCTTTTCTCTCTTTCTGGAGGTAGCTTGTAAAGACTGGTGCAGGAGCTCCATTATGTCATTAATGTCCCAGGGCCCTTTTATCTTTCTGTTTTCACATTCTTAGGATGTGGCTCCCATCCTCCGAGTCACTCTAAGATGGCTTCTATTCCCAAGGCCTCATAACCATGGTCCAGAAGGTACAAGGACCAGGGCAAGGAACAAAAATGTTCACGGAGGCTGAAGGCACCTTCTGGGGAGCTCTGTGAAAGAACTCCAGCTCACATCTTACTGAGCAAAACTGGGTCACACAGCCCCACATCTGTAAGGTAGGAAAGAAATGTAATCTCTGTGTTAGGGGGAAACAGTGAAATAAAGAAAACACAAAAGAAATGAGAAAAGGGGACCAAAACAAAAAAGCAAAGAAAAAGTATGAAACGATGAAAGCACAACATAAGATGATAGCAATTACAGGCAGGAGTAACCATAATCAGTGTAAATGAATGAATCATGCCAGGTAAAAAGACCCTCAGATAAATAATTCTGCCTATATGCTATTTATAAGAGACATGCTTAAAAAATAATGAGATGGAAAAGTGGAAGTAATAGCATGGAAAAATATGGACCAAACCAAAAGAACACTGATATATTATTACCAGACAAAATATACTTTAAAGTAAAACTCACTACTGGTGATAAGGAAGACCGTTATTCATTGATAAAAGGAATAATTCACCAGGAAGATTTAATACTTCTAAACTAGTATGTCCCTAACAAAATACACAGAGAAAACACTGATGAAATTATGATGAAAAAATGATAGATCCTCCAATGCAGTGGGAGATTTTTATAACACCTCTTTTAATACTTGATATGCCAAATGGAAAAAAAAGTTAATGGAGATGTAGACTATTTGCATAACACTATTAATAAAATTTATTCAATAAACATTGCTATAAACTGAATGTTAATGTTCCTCCAAAATTCGCACGTTGAAAGCCAACCCCCAACGTGAGAAGACTTGGAGATAGTCTTTGGGAGGTGATTAGGTCGTGAGGGCAGAGCCCACATGAATGGGAATAGTGCCCAGGGAGTTTCCTGCCTCTCCCAGCCTGTGGGGACACGGTGAGAAGATGCTCTCTATAAACCAGAAGGGGGTCCTCACCAGACACTGGATCTGCCGGTACCTTGGTCTTGGACTTTCCAGCCTCCAGAATCGTGAGAGATAAATGTTCGTTGTGTAAGCCCCTCTGTCTTTGGTATTTTTATTAATAGCTCAAACAAACTAAGACAGACATAGAAAGAACCCTGCACCTAACAATTAGAACAATTATTTTCAATTCACGTCAGGTATACATTTTACAGATGTAAAATCTGACTATGAGCTAGGCCACACCCAACAAAGGGCTGATATCATATAGGGCCAGGTTCTCGGATCATAATGTAATACATTTAGAAACCAATAACAAAAATACAATATCCCTGTATTAGTTTGCTAGGGCTGCCGTAACAAAATACCACACACTAGGTGGCTTAAATAACAGAAATTCATTTCTCACAATTTTGGAGGCTGGAAATTCAAGATCAAGGTGCTGGTGGGATAGGTTCCATTCTGAGGCCTAATCTCTAGGCTTGTAGGTGGCTTCCATCACACAGTGTGCTCATATGACCTCTTCTTTGTGAACTGTCTGGTGTTATAAGGACACTAATCCTCAGAGCAGGGCTCACCTTTATGACCTCATTTAACCTTGATCACTTCCTTAGAGGCCCTACCTTCAAATACAGCCACCCTGAGGCGTAGGGCTTCAATATGTGAATGCTGGGGAAATATATTCAGTCCATAACAACTCCAAAACATTTAGAAATTTTAAACAGTGCTGAAGAATTCATGTGTTAGAGAAGACAACATAGACACAATTAGTACATATTTAAACCTAAGTGACAAAGAAAGTTCTACATAATAAAATATGCGGCTCCAGTGGTTAAAAAAGAGAATATACTTGTAACTATAACAGAGACGTCAAAAAAATCATTACATAAATCAATTTAAAATCAGACAAATTGGACAGTCTTCTAGAAATACATAACTTACCAATTCTGCATCAAGAAGAAATAGAAAACCTGACACACTGTAACCAGTAAATAAATTGAATTCACTGATTAAAAAAAACCAACAACACCTCAAGTAAAGCTTCAGGTCCACACTGCTGTACAGGTCAGCTTTATGAACACTCAAGGAACAGACAATCCATATCTGTTCCAAAGAATAGAAATAGAAGGAAACCTCCAACTCAACTTATGAGGCTGCTCTATGTAGCAATGATGGTAGGCAAAAAGAAAATTGTATATAAAATATTACTTCGGTAAGGTAAAAATTCTAAATAAAATACTAGGAAATTAAATCTATAAACATATAAAAAAATAAATAAATTGTGACCTGCAGAGTTAATCCCAGAATGAACTTAGAAAGATATACTAAAAGCATTCACCATTTTAGCAGATAACAGGAAAAAAATTATCATCTCAAAAATGCAGAAAAACTGTTTCACATAATTGTAATACCTGTTTATGAATAGAAACTCCTAGAAAACTAACAATAAATGGGAAATTTCCTTAACCTGACAACCTGACATAGGGTAGTTACCAAAAATGTTACAATAGTAGCAATAATAATAACATATAGATTTGTATAGCATTCAATATTTGCTAGGTACTGCTCTAATATTTTTATGTATCGTGTGTGTACCATATATATGTGCATATATAATATATAGAGAGTGCATTATATATAGTGCACTACACACACACACACACACACACACACACACACACACAGAGTCATTTGATCCTCACAGTGACTCTGAGATGGGCACTATTATTACCCTCTTATACAGAAAAAAAGGAGGAACAGAGAGGGTAAGTGGCTTACCCAGGTCACACAGTGGCCACATAGTGAGAAAGGTCCCAGGGTGAAAACAAGGGTTGAACCAAACAGTTTGCTCTACAGTGCATCTCCTAATCATGATGTTATATGGCCTCTAATGTCAGGCATAAGACTAGAATGTCAATTCTCACCATTTCTATTCAACATTGTTTTGGAGGTCAAAGCAAAATAAAAAAGGAAGATATAAAAATATATCATGGTTAGAAAGCAAGAAAAAACTGCCATTATTGCAGATTAAACACCAACATACGAAAGTCAAGAAATTCTGACTTGACTACTGAAAAATGATCAGTATCATTTCTCTGATACAAGCAACAAGTAATTCAAAATGATGACCTAATATATTTATGTTTGACCCAGTAACCTCACAAATATATGTTGACTAAATATGAAATGACCCATACACCAGGTTG